AAAGCACGAACAATTTTTGAATGTTGAGAACAAATTTTGAAATGGAGAACAAATTTAGAAGCACGGACAATTTTTTAAAGCACGAACAATTTTTGAATGTTGAGAACAAATTTTGAAATGGAGAACAAATTTAGAAGTGCGAACAATTTTTTAAAGCACGAAATTTTTTTGAATGTTGAGAACAAATTTTGAAATGGAGAACAAATTTAGAAGCGCGGACAATTTTTTAAAGCACAAACAAATTTTGAATGTTGAAAACAAATTTTGAAATGGAGAACAAATTTGGTAGTGCGAATTTGAAATGGGAAGATTTTTTGAAACTCCCAAACATAATTTGAAATGTGAACAAAAAGAAAACAAAAAGAGAAGAAAAAGGAATTGAAAAATGAAATAAAGAAACAGAAAAACGAAGAAAGAAAAAAAAACAGGAAAAACAACAAAAAAAAAGCAAACAAAAAAAACCAGTGAAAACCCGGTTCAAAAACCTTCTAGAAGGTTCCCAAAACCGTTCAGGAACCCTCCAGAAGGTTCCCAAAACCGGAAGCTGCAGCGCCAGCGCTATCTCCTAACTGGGCCGGCCCATCTTGATCGCTATCGCTAGCTCTCTGTGCGAAGCCTCGACAAGTCGACGCAGCGAGCGTCCAATAGGATTTTCCCGCAGCAGGCGCAACAGTACCTCCGGCCGCCGCTGCCCGGCCGGCTGGCGCGGCGGCGCCTGACTGAAATTCCCCTGCAAACCGCAGATTCCGTTCGCTCCTTATTCCTTCTCAGGGAGCTGAAGGACATTCCAGGATCTGCTCATAACGATGGGCCAACCCTTAATGGTTACGCATATACAAACCCTATTTTTTATTTTCATCATTTTTTCTACTGAAATTTGTGGATCCCATGGTTTCCCTTACTTCATGCTTGTTCAATCAGTGTGCTCAATCGGGATTCCCCATTTGATTTGTAGCAGCAAGCACTGTCCTGGATTCCACCTCACAAGCAAGAATTCAGATACTCAGATACTAATGTAAATTTGAGTACATTATGCATTGCTAGGGAGTGGCCTGAGGAAGCTTCAAGGCACAAGCTTCGATGTGTTTATAATACACTGCTACTAAACTCATCTGGGAAGACTTGCTTGACCTGGCAGACAACAAAACTTTCTGGTTTCACATGGCCTTGGCCCTTGTGGAATCTCTGAGGTAAATATACCAAATTATACTAGACTACCAATCTTAGTGTACCAAATGTATTCATTAACAGCAGGGATGCGAATAATATTTCATGTACATAGCTTGTTTCTGTTCCTGAAGTGATTTTGCGGACTCTGTAGCTGTCAAGGCAGAGATCATATTTCAGAGCTTCCATGTTGTTGCTACAATGAGAATATGCTATCACGACTTTCAGCCATATGCAAACGAGCCCCCCCTGTTGTTGGCATAACACAACTGATAAAATGAATAGATTCTTCACCCACGCAATGGGAAAACTGGGCTATCAAGTTAGGGACTCCTTTTCTTTTGGCAGCTGTGGGGGCAATTGCAGTTGAGGTGCAAGTTGGGCAATGAAAGATGCCTAAGCCATCTCTATATCAAAGTTAAAGATGCCCCTCAAGCCATACAAGATCCAACCCAGCCTTGCCTCCGAAGCTCTGAAACACCAGCAACCCTGATGGCGCAAATGGAGCAGCGAGGATCAACGAACATGACCAAGGCGCTGGAAGCTCTTTCGCCGTGGCTCGAAAACCCACGGAGCATTGTCAATCAAGTGGAGGCGCTCGTCCTCGCCGCGGCTGTGCTCCTGCTCTTCCAGCTCATCCTCTGTTCCTGCAGGCGGCAGTCGAGCAACGCTTTTATCCAGGCCGGCGCGTGGGTGTCCTACACCATGTCGTTCCCTTTGGTCACCTACACATTGGGCATGATGCAGACTTCCCCGGTGAAGAATGTCCTGTATCCTGTCTGGGCTGTCTCTTTGTTCCTGGTTGCTGGATGCACCAACGCCGTCACGTCCTATGATCTTGACGACAACAAGCAGTGGAAGAAGCATCTCTTCGAGGTCTTTCAGTATGCCCTCTACTCAGCAATTAACATCAAGCTGCTTTTCCCTTACAGCACTGCAGAAGTATTTAATCTCAAGGCCAAATATTTCAAGTCTATGTCCATCACCCCTGTTATCGTGATCCTCAACTTGATTGTGCTGCTCACAAATTTTGTCAAAGTTATCTCGTGTTGGAGGGTAGGCGTTGACTTCTCCAGCAAACGAGTTGCTGAGTTCATGAGGAAGCAGGCCAGGGAGGACCGTCCTAGTGTGTTCAACCCTGTCGCCATGGAAGGCTACAGGTACCCTATTCGATGTGGTAGACACAAATCGATCACCATCGACGAGGTTTGGAAATTGGACAGCACGCTTTTCAGGTCAGGTGCTTCCACCAAGCTGAAAGATTCTTGCCTATCATATGCCCTGTTTAAGCTCTTGAGGCGGCAGTACCATGGGATGGAGTGTGCTGAAGCCGGCCTTCCCGAAACCCGTGATTTTGTCTTGAAGGGTTTGCTGTTGACAGAAGACGACCATCAGATTGAAAGGGCGTTCAGGATTGTGGAGGTAGAACTTGGTTTCTATCATGACTACCTCTTCACCAAATACATTATCATCCGTAAGCGGGAGAAACTGTTCTTCGCAATGTTGCTTGTGAGGATACTTCTTATATCTATTGTTTTACACTATGTCACCCGGAATTCATTGGCTGTCATGACAGCAGCTGCTATAATTGAGGTGCAGACCAAGACTGTTGATACTATCATTACTGTACTTGTTCTCACCATTATTCTCATGGTTGAAGTTCTGCAAGCCGCATTTTACCTGGCATCAGACTGGGCCAAAGTGACACTTACCAAAAGATATTTAAGTAACCAGTGTTACCGGGGCAATGCTTGTTTGGAGAAGATTATTGTTTTCATCAGCAAGGTCACCATGTTCAGATATTGGGCAAATCAAATTGGACAAAGTTCAGTGATTTCAGACAACAAATATTTTGACAGACACCTGCAGTATGTCATAGAAAGCCCTCCACACTCACTTGCGATGTTGTTCAGCAGCTTCAGTCTTGGCAAAAGGACAACCCGTGTGAGCATATGCAGCCCCGTCAAGAGAGCCATATCTAGGTCCATTAAAATGAGTAAAGATCCTCTAACAAACGGCAAGTCATCACTAGACCACAATGGAGTGCTGCGAGGATTCTCCTGGGCACTGAATGGACAAACTCAGACAGAGATCATGCTAATTTGGCACATTGCGACCGAGTACTGCAACATTGCTCAGCCTAATACCACGGAAACAGGTGAGGTGCAAGACATGAAGTGCCACCGTGAAGTTGCAGTCAGGTTATCAAGATACTGCGCATACTTGATAGATTCTGCCCCAGAACTGCTTTCAGACTACATGGATACTGAGATTCCCATAGCTAAGATGATGCAAGATATGCGCAAAGTTATGGGAAAATGTACATCCATTCATGCGAAATTTGAGGTCATGAAGCATTTAGAAGAGTGTGAGGGGGAGGAGGAGGAGGAGGAGGATACCATGTTCCGACGAGGCGTCAAGCTGGGGAAGCAGCTTGACTGCTTGGATGCTGCTCTGCAATGGAAGGTGCTGGAGGAATTCTGGGCAGAGACCATCGTCTACATTGCACCTTCAGATAATGTCAATGGGCACTTGGAACGCCTTGCAAAAGGCGGGGAGTTCCTAACCCACATCTGGGCCCTGCTATCTCATGCTGGCATCCGGGCGATAAACAGGGTGCAAGATAAGCACACCATGCCCAGCCATCCGTCCGAAGAAAATGTGTGATTTGCCTCTGTAAAAGGAAAAGGAGTGGTCCGAGTTTGCTTTCTTATTTGTAATTCAAAACCGTGTGTTTGTTCTTTATTTCCTTTGAGCCTAAAAGTCTTGTTTTTTTCACTATTCTCCTTTTATTTTTTGCGTGTATACAAGAGCAGGATAGGAGCTCTCCTAGGATCAGGACATGTAAGTTAGAATGGGTTTCAAACCATCTGGAACCACATGAGAGCAAATGTCTTGGGTTGAAAACTTGAAATACAGTCCGGGTTGAGTTGGTTTGGTTTGTATGATGAAATGCTGATCGGGTCTGACATGTTGGAGTTCTGTGTTGTGGGCTGGGTTGCTCTGGCCTATTTGAAACCACTAGCAGGCCTTGCCATTTGCCTTTCTTGTAGAATGAACAAAATATAGATGGAAAGGTTTACAAACATCTGGCCACTTTACTCCCCTAACGATATAACACCGATTCTGTGACCGGACTCGTTCCCTAGATTCACCCATGCCCCTCGGCGCTGCATTGTCCATGTAAGCAACCCACTTGCTCTTGCTTGATTATGCATCTCTCTTGCTGCATCCTCCTCACATGTGCATCAGCAAGTGAGCGTTCATAGATAGATAGACTGTAAATGTTGTGCCTGTTATATCTTGTGTCATGCATGCGTAGCGCCATGTTACTAGAGAACCTGAATTATGAGTGCACTAGCGCTCTAATGCTTAATTTCATCTTAATATGCATACTAGGAATCCGTGTGCTGATCCCTAGTATGCATACTAGCAAATATGCCCGTGCGTTGCAACGGGAGAAAACAACCCTCACATGCCCTTATCCATTGAGCATGGCTAAAGACCTCACCCTCGTGCCCATATAACATAATAAACATGACTCATACCTCATCCTCATGTCGACATCCTACATTTCAATATAACATCAGACACATGTTTACACTTGCCGTCTTTGCCGTCCTCGCCGCCGATGGTCGCAACACCAGTTGTCACTCACCAAGGTTGGCCAGGTCTAATAACTGGATTGTCGAGCCGCCTTCGTGTCCGACGAAGACCAAGAGCGTTGAAGAAAGTTTTTTTTATCATCTGGTTAATATAATAGGGAAAATCACTGCACATAATATATGTCCGTGTGATCATGTAAATTGAGTAGTTTGTGTTAGGTAGACCATGAAACCTTAGCTGGACTCCTCATGTATTTTGACGGGAGTCATTGGGCTGAGTGAGACTGGTCGTACGTGAAGACGTGACAGATAAAAAGATTCTTTCCATATCCCTAGTTTAATAAATTGAACAAAAACAATGCATCAGGTGGGAATATTTAAAAAACTCGCCAAGTTTTATTAATAGGTATAGATTAAAACAATTTAGCTACAGTACCTCCTAGTTTTTTTTAAAAAAAATATTGTTTTAAATAACTGTTTGACTTTTCAAAATCTTGTTTTGCGTGGGAAAGACTTTTCAAATTGAAAGCTAAAAAAATATTTGTTTTATAAAATGTTTGCAAATTCAAAAAATAATCACAACAGTACCTCCTAGTCTTAGAACTTGTTTGTGTTTTAAAAATTGTCAGGTTTCGAAAACATAAAAAAATTGTTCCTTAAAAAAAATTTCGAGTTTCATTTTTTTATTACCAACTTTGCAAAATTTCCGTGTTCTAAAATATATTCACTTTTTCAAAAAGAAAACTTTTTCTCTCAGTATATGACGTGACTGTGTGCTTAATTTTAAATTTTGTGCTGCTAATTAAACTCTAATTCTTATTTAGTCTAGTGGCTAGCATTATGAGCGATCAAGCGTGAGGAGCTGGGTTCGATCCCTCGTCACGCATTGTTTTTTCTTGAAATTTTTTTACTGGCGCGGGCCATGTGTAGGCTAATGGGCCGGCCCATTGCTGCTCTGTGCGTCATGTGATATTTTTTTGACAGAAGCCAATCGGGAGAAGGAGAAAACGCTCGCACAAGGAAACGCCTCACGTACGAAAATTTTCTGGATCCCACCATAAACCAAAAAACTGGAGAAACAGTCCTTTCTTTAATATTAGGTAAAGATAAAGAATTGTGTATTGTAGAATAAGTGTCGTGCTTCTAGTTCAAATTCACTTATTTTAGAATGGGGAGAGTAATAGCATCTAATTAATCTGAAACTGATATAAAATTGCAAGATTTATCTGACACCACTGCCTAGCTATTACATTCTTTCTCCACAAATACATTTCAAGACATCTGTCATTAATGTGTGGAGTAAAAAAAAGTAACCTCGGACAATACTTTAGTCAATTCAAGTAGCACTCAACCGTACAGGCTACATCAGGCCAACCAAAAAGACTACAACACAATGACACATGAGGTCTCTTGCAACTCCCGCGCCTTGCTCTTCCCCCCAAAAGCACATACTTCAATTGGAAGCAACTCAACATAAGCTCAGCCGATGGACAAACTGAGCCAGACCAAGAGGCTCTCGTGACCGCGTCGCCCCCGCGGGCGACCGGTCGCGCCCCGATTCCCCTTCCGCCAGCTCTCCCTCTACCCCCCTTCCCCGTCGCCGTCGCCGGCGTTCGCCGCCGGGCCTGGCCCGAGCGACGCTGGTGGCGGCGGCCCTCGGCCATTCCCCTCTCGGTTGCTCTCCGGCGCGGGGCGGAGGGCGCCGAGGGGTGCTCCCTAGGCGGCGGTGGTCCGACGTGGTGGCGGGGCTTCCTGGCGCGGCGCGGGAGATCGGCTAGACGGCGGCATCGCCGTTGGCGGCAGGGTGGCGCGGCGGCATAGCCAGGCGGTGCCCGCTCGGCCCAAATCTGGGCCCTTTGGGCCCCATCTGGGTCTGGGCGGGCCGACGGCAGGGCGGGTCGGCGGCGTGGCTTCCAGAAGGCGGGGGAGCGGTGATGGGCGTTGGGGTGCTGGCGCCGCCCTGCTGCAGCGTGGCCGACGGGGCTTAGCGGGCTCGATTCGGGTCTGGCCGGGCCAGGGGTGGCCCGGTATGCCCTGCTGCTGCGTCCGGACGGCGACCGCGACGGTGCCGGAGGCACGAGCCTCCTGCACGACAGCGGAGGAGGTGGTTCCCTCCCGCGCGGCTACGGCGCTGCTGCTCCCATCGACCAACGCCTCCTCTCCTCGTTCTCTTGGCCTCATGGTGGTGATCTCAGTGAGGCGGCCACTAGTAGAAAAGAGGGCTTTGGTTCAGGTCGGGTCAGCCCATTAGTCCCGGTTCAGTCCAGAACCGGGACCCATGGGGGCACTGGTCCCGGTTCGTGAGGCCAGGGGCCTGCCGGGCCTCGTGGGGGCATTGGTCCCGGTTCGTCTGGCCCCTTTGGTCCCGGTTGGTGGGACGAACCCGGACCAATGGGCCTCGCTCCTGGCCCACCACCATTGGTCTCGGTTGGTGGCTTGAACCGGGACCAGAGGCTGCCCTTTAGTCCCGGTTCATGCCACGAACCGGGACCAATGAGGTGCCTATATATACCCCTCGCCCGCGAGCAGAGCACTCCAGTGCTCTGTTTTTCTCTGGTCGGCGAGGGGAGGGCTTTGTGGTGCTCTAGCTCACCTCCTATGCACATGAGGTGTTCGATGAAATGCCCGAGCCACACTAGTTAAGCTTTCTCCTCTCGAAGCTCGACCTCAAAGCTCCATTTTCCTCGAGATTTGTCTAGGTTTAGCGGCCCATCACGTCTCATTCCCGTCTTCACCGCCGTCGATCGCCCGCGCCGATCTCGTCACCGGCACCACCGTGGTGAGCCTCTTGTTCTTATCTTCTTTCTGAAAGAAAAAAAATTCTTACTTTAGATAGATACTTGTCTAATTTTCTTACTATTCTATTGCTTGTTATTATATAGTGCGATGGTTTTGGTATCCGCCCCCGTCGGCCCTCGTCCTGTCTATGATTCGGATGTGGTATATATTATCTTTATAACTATTGGTTCATTTATTGTTTATGAAAATTATGCCAACATGACATAGATTTTATTTATCTAGGAGGTATGTGAACCGGAAATTCCAACCGACCCTATTGTCGAGAATTAAATTTAGTTGAAGAAGAAAACAATTTATTGAAGAAAAAAATAAAAAAAATTGAGGAGGAGAAGATGATATTGGAGTTGCATGTTGCGGATGTCGTTGATGATCACAAGATCAAGATGGATGCAATGCGCTTGAAGATTAGAAAGATTAGAAAATATGCCATTCATACCGAGGCTTGGTATCATTATGCCGTTGGATCAATTGTTACCTTGGTTGTGATTATGATCGCATTTGTTTTCGCATTGAAATGTTTTACATAGTTTCACTGTATGGTTTGAGCTATATGTTGTTAGATGAGAACTATGTATGTACTTTGGTTTTAATGTAATGATGAACTTCTATTAATTTGGTCATTTAATTATCTATTCATGATGTTCTGTAATGGTTTTTGACACACTTAATTATATATAATGCACGTAGATGAACCGGCAATGGATGTACGGTGACAGACACACCTCCGAGTACATTAAGGGCGTGCATGATTTTGTCGAAGTGGCTGAGGCAAACAAGCAGAATGGTTTTATGTGTTGTCCATACCCTAAATGTGGGAATACGAAGTCTTATTCTGATCGGAAAATCCTTCACACCCACCTGCTTTACAAGGGTTTCATGCCACACTATAATGTTTGGACGAGGGACGGAGAAATAGGGGTTATGATGGAAGACGGCAAAGAAGAAGAGGACGATGACAACTATGTGCCCCCTGAATACAGTGATGCTGCAACTGGGGAAGCTGCTGAAGATCAAGAGGAACCAGACGATGTGCCCAATAATGCTACAACGGGAGAAGCTGCTGAAGATCAAGAGGAACCAGACGATGTGCCCGATGATGATGATCTCCGCCGGGTCATTGTTGATGCAAGGATGCAATGCGAAAGAGAAAAGGAGAAGCTGAAGTTCGATCGCATGTTAGAGGATCACAAAAAAGGGTTGTACCCCAATTGCGAAGATGGCAACACAAAGCTCGGTACCGTACTGGAATTGCTGCAGTGGAAG